GGAGAAAATTGTGCAGAATCTCTCCAGCGTTAAATGGCCTCCCTATATTAATGAAAAAAATATTTCTTGGTCACTATCAGTTAACGGCCAACTTCTCAGGCTAACTCTTAACTCCACTGAGAAGAATTTCCTAATTGACCAATATAATTTATTAACTTCCACTCTTCGGCCACTCCTTTCGAGACCTGGTGGCTCTAAACATGATTTGAACTTTGGCAGTAAAAAACGGTTTGATCATGAATGTACTCAAGCAAAGTTAACTCTCAGGGAAAGCTTCAAAATCTTCCATCAGAATCCAAATCTCATTACTAAATCTGAATTACAACTTTTAAAAAAGCAATATAAAGAGCTGCTAGAATCTAAGATAAGAGCTGCAGACTACCTTCTATGGCATTAAAGCCTCCAGAGAAAAAGATAATGAGGGTTTCTGGATGATTATTTCTGATTTGTAACCTAAAGTATCAAATGCCCCAAACCCTGTTCCAGCAGATGTGTGGGGAAAGTATTATAGTGATTTATTTAGAGATCAACAGTATTTTATTTCCCCTGATACACCTCTGGATACCATCACACAGTGACCTCCAGTCTCTGAGTCTTAAATTTCTTTATTAATTTCACAAATGAAATCAGGAAAAGCACCAGGTAACGATTTCATCCCTATTGAGCTTCTGAAGTCACATATAAATTGGTGGGCCCCAATGTTAGCGAACCTGTTCTCGCATATAGACTCCTCAGCTCGATTGGAACCAGGCCATAATTGTACCTATATTTAAAAAGGGTAATTAGTCCAATCCATCGAACTACCGACGAATCAATCTTTTAAATGTGATCTATAAGCTGAATACCAACATATATAACATAAAACCAGTAAAATTAAAATACACATAGTAATACATTATAAATACACTTAAAAGAATCCAAGATGGCGTGTCTATATAATTTCTTCCCATTCTGGACTGCACCGCCATCTCATGGGCAGAGAAAGAGGAGGAACACAAAAACAAGTCTGGAGGAAAAGGGGAGAGTGCTAGCCATGATGGAAATTGTCACTGCCCTCAACCAAAAGCCTGGTGGAACATCTCTGCCTTACAGGCCCCGTGGAATTGCATTAGATCTAGCAGGGCCCTGGTGGTATTTGGCAGAGAGTTCCACCAGGTTGGGGCAAGGACCGAGAAGGCCCTGGCCTTGGTTGAGGACAGTCAGACATCTTTGGGGCTGGGGATCACCAGCAGATTGTTGTTTGCGGAGCATAACACTCTCCTGGGAACATACCAGAGGAGGCGATCCCGTAGATATGTGGGTCTCAGACCGCTCAAGGCCTTAAAGGTCAACACCAAAACCTTGAACCTGACTCGGTACTCCACTGGTCTGTGGCTCATCACAAGAAGCAAGTTCTAAACTGGGCTGAAAAAATCAGTCGTTAGAAATGGAAAATGAAAAATGTCACCAGAAGATTGCTATAGTAGGCTAGTTGAGCTGACAGTCCCTGAAAGATTAAATGGGTACTTTACCCAAAGGTATGCCTTAAAACTGTTCCTTTGGCGAAACCCAGACCTGTGTTCATCACGGAAAAATCAACAGCTTGAACACTTATATTTAAGATCAATATGATAGCTAGAGGAGAGGCATATATGAGGTAGTTTGAAAATGAAGACATTTTCAGCCCCAGAGTGTAGATGCTCGTGTAAGTAATTGATCAAAATAGTATGTATGTGCCTCTCTTCTGGATGTTATACAGAAAAATCCAGAAGATGCTACAGTGCCCAGCAGGCCCGTAGCTCGCGTGGGGCCCATGGGGCCCGCCCCCCATGGGTTTTGCGGGCCCCTCCTCCAATCCTCTGTTCCCCCCTCCCCCGATCGCCACAGAGCTCCAGGATTCCCCGGTGGGGAGGAAGAGCCGGCAAAGCTGGCCGGGACACGTAGGCAGGCGCGGGGGCGGAGGCGGCTTCTTAATTCCCTGGGAGAAGCAGGGCGAAGAGGAGCGGGGACCCGGGCGCGCGCTCCCTGCCTCTCGCGCTCAGGAATTCGCCGCCCGCGGCTGGAGCCCAGGGAGAGCCCATAGCGCGCAACATATCCCTCCTCCCCCCCCCGTCCCCGCGAAACGGCCGCCGCCACCAGACCCTGCGCCTGGTTGCTTGGAAGTCAGTCCCAGTACATTCTACGCCAGGCTTGCTCCCGAGTAAGTAGGCCCCCCAGGGTCGCCATCGAGCGAGTCTCCCCTACTGAACTACGGAGGGACAAAGGAGCGACCCTGCTGATGCATCTTGGAGTGCTCCATGGCTTGGGGATCCGGTTGCCAGCCCCATCCGTCGAAGCCCCAAAGACGGCCGCGGCCCGATGGAGCCGGGAAAGGCCGAGCCGCCCACCGCAAGGATTGCGCCGTGGGGTAGACAATTGATAGAATGAAATGTTTTATATGTTGTATTCCTGAGAAAATAAAATTTGTTTACCAAAAAAAAAAAAGAAAGTGTATTCCTGCCACGTGGGCCCGTGGGGGGGGCGGTGGCAGCCCCCAACCACTTCAATGGCCCGGCTCCCTTCCCGCCTCATTGCCTCCCACACAGGAAGTGCGCCCAAGGCCTTCCCGCTTGGCGCGGGCTTCTTCCTCCACCCCGGAGCTGGGCTGCCCTTCCCGCTTGGCATCATCGCCCCCACCCTTTCCACGATGCCTGTTGCCACCACCCCCGACTGGGGCACCCTCCGGGTTGCTCTTGGGGGCCTCCGCTCGTGGTGCGGGCGGCCCAGGGAATGGGGCTCCAGCTCTCCCCACCCCCGGCTTTGCCTTTCGGAGACTGCTTAGGCCCAAGCCCGTGGATGATTGGGCCGGCCTGGTGCTGCAGAGACTAACGAGGTCGAGGTGCGTGGCTGCGCTTCGGTCCGGTTGTGCCCCGGGAGATGTGTGTGCGGTGCGTGTGCGCTTTGCGTGCGCGCACACACATACTCCAGCCACAGGCCGCGAGTCCCCCCGTTACGGCATTATCTTGACTTGCCAACCCTCGGTAAGAATGATGACTTGCAGCCCTCCCACTTTTCCCAGGGCCCCCCCACTAAAAAGGTCCTAGCTACGGGCCTGGTGCCCAGAAGAAATTTTAGTGGCACTCAGTTGGTCCAGGTTTTTGTAATTTTGGTATGTGGTCAGAATGTTGGTTCACCAACCTTGGAAATTATTGGTCTTTGCCGATCTTTTGACTGAAAACTCAGTGTGTTTTTCTCAGCTGCAGATGTTCCACTTAACAGCATGGAAGTTGAGCAGCAGCTGATGCATGAATTAGTTTATTCTGATTCTATATTGTAAACCATAGAGTTTCTACTAGTAGAGTATACAAATACCATGTAGATGTCTAGACTAGATCCTAAACAGATTAAAGTCTATTCCATGCAAGGCTGATTACAGATAGACTTCACCACTAGGATATTGAAGTGTTGGCAGTTTTCAGCATTTTTGATCAATGGTTTAGGAATGTCTTTCTATGGTAATGAGCACATAGAAGTTTTGAAAGGAGTGCTTTGTGTCATAGTTTTCCTGTTCATGGATTCCCTGTTTTATATGTTGTCTGTACTTCATGGTCTGCTACTACCTAGTCCATTTAAGTAGAATGCAAGAGTATTTTCAGTTAATAAATAATTCCCTCCCCACAATGGAAATTTTATTACTTTCTTTATTCCTCTCTCTGCCCTAACCCCTCATATATGAAGGAGAAGCAGTGACAATATATGTTCAAAAGACACTTAGCCTTAGTAAATTTCTACAGTATTCAAACAGAACAAAATTTACGTTATTGTTTGTGGAACTAAAAGTGTCTTCCTCTGCTGTTTGCAGAACATTTAGAGAATGCATAAAGCTCTGTGGGAGAATGTGCCTGCTCAGGCTTGTAGACTCTATTCCACCATGCCCTCTTGGGTTATTCTACCACCTTGAGGGGCTATTCTTCCACTCTCAGGGTAGCCCGCCGCCACCACCACCTGCTCTTTATAAGGAATTGCCCACTGGGAGGGGCAGGACTCCCAGCTTCCCTTCCAAGTTCTGAGGCCTTGCCTCTGTGTCTCCCGCTGCCCAATACCTGAGCACCCCTGGGGGAATAGCCACTTGCCAACTGCCTACCTCCCCCTTGGCTCCCCTCTTTAAATAGTATATCTGAGATGGCGGAGGTCTATGTGGTACGGAGAACAAATCCCAGCATCAAAAGTTTAAAGTATTTATTAAAAAGAAAATGTTTACAAGCATACTTTTACAGCACCAGACTGAGCAAGGAATCTGAAAGAAACGGGTGAAAACGCATATACTCTGTTCCTCTCTTTATACATGCCCTATCAGATGGTAAAATATAGGACAGGCTCTTTAGCTTAGAATGGTGTTCTAGATCTCTACAGAGTTTCTGTTACCTTGAAATATGATCCAACTCTCCCAAGTAAGCACATGGTCAATGGCTGCCTGCTTGCAGCCCTCAGCTAAGAAATCTCATGAACTCAGCATCCCAAAGAAAAAGAACACCTTCCTGTGGCAAGGAATTTTTATCACCTCTCCCGATACCCCAACCCCTGACCAAGTCACGCCAGGTCAAAGAGGCATTTCCTGTAGAGCTCCAGGAATCTCTTTCCAAGAAATGCTCTAGAATTCTATTTCTCCAAACCCCATAGTTCCCTGTCTGAAGGGGGGGGGGAGCTTTCCCATTCCTTTGTCTAGATTTATTAGCATTTGTATGAAGGTGGGCAGAATTTAAAAATATGATTAGAATACAAAATAGGTTTAAAAAAACAAAAAAAAGATGGGGGGGGAGAAGATCACAAATGTTTAGTTTTCCTGTGGATTGGTCTACATACCTAGCATTTTTTTCCACCTGACTTCATACAGTGCGTCACCAGAAGTGGGTGATAAATTGTATCTACATGTTCACCACTAAATGCCTCTGTAAGTTGTTTCTTCGCGAATGTTTAACTTGCCAGCTTAGGTTGTCAGACTATTTCTGCTGCTAAATCTACTTTCTTCTCTTGTGTCCTAGATTCATGAGAAATTACACTACTATGAAAAACAGAGCCCTGTCCCCATGTTGCATGGTGCGTCAGCTTTGGCAGATGATGTAAGTGTCCCTAGTGAAGCCATTGGGGGTACTGTATTTCCCAAAACTGCTTCTGAGCAGAGTGTAAAACAAGGGGATCGTATAGATTGGATGTCAAATGTCTCCAAAAAGCTTGCCATCATCGGGTTGCTGATGCTGTTTTGATTTTATTAGACTTTTTACTGTTATGACAGCTAGGTAGATTCTTGTTCTACCTTGGTATTCCATTAGAGGAATTCTGTATTAGAAATCTTCAGTGAAACTGAAGCTGTTAGCTACTAATGTGTTATGAGAGTCATAGACAAGAGGAATGTTTTCTAAAAATAAAGACAAATAATATAGCTAAACTGCTGACAGAATAAGAAAAATGACAGATGATACTGAAGAAATGAGGTTTGTGAAAGATATAAGAAGGGGCTGTCAGAAAATCACTTTTTTAAAAACAGCAGAGATTTATGGATATTAAAGCTTTTCAAATTACTTTCATAACTAAAAAATAAAATCTAGAATAGCTGGCATTGATAGACTATTTAATTTCCTGTTACTGTAATTTTTATTAATAAAAAAATCAAGCCTGCCTTTTCTGCATTATATGGTGAATTCTACAACCCTGATGAATTGTGCGCACACCTGTATAAACTATGACAGAACGTAAGGTGGGCAGGGTAAAGTTAGACTGATTTAAGTGAAACTTTAGGTATGCTTGGCACAGTGGTATACACTGAAGGGCAATTTTTGTTAGGATACTTTTTTCTTTGAACAGTTTGTAGATAATTGATGAGATGCTTGGTTCTAATTAATTTCTTATACATAATGGCTCACTAAAATCATTCAGTTGCACACTTGGGAGGCAGAATGAAATTAACCAGTTTTGAACATTCATATTAACAACATTTGGATCTCCTTCCAATGTGACGTGTTAGAAAAAATCTGAAGAACAATAGAATTCAAAAATAGCAGTGACTGTTTTCTTCTTTTAGAATGATAAACAGCAGGTGTTAGTTTTTGCCATTATGATTGTGGACAAACCTGACCATATGCCACATATTGTCTGTGAACTGGTTAGAAGTTCAGTATTTCAGTGTAAATGAGCAACAAATATTTAGGTATGATAAAGTCAGTCATTAGCTTGTTTAAGGAACATAATGAACAATGGGTGTGTTTCACTGATTTCTCTGCACTCTTCAGGACCATTCTGAATCACCACTTCAATGGCCATGTTATGGCCACTGCAGTTATAAACATTCACTTTCTCTTTGTGTTCTTTTACTACATTGTTTTAGAAAGGCTCAAGCCTGAAATCATAAAGGTACTGAGTAAGGTCTATCACCCTCTCTGTTCTGATTCATTGTACGTTTGGTTTATGCATAGCTGAAGCTGTGTAGAGCCTAATTATAATGATGAGAGGGGGTTGGATTCTACCACTTTTCGCTAAACTGATATTTAGTTATTTGACAGGCATAGGGTTTGGCATTTGTTGACCCTGACAAGTCAGGCCTTTTCAACATTTTGTCCAGTGTAAGGATGTTGAATGAGACCAGTTTGCTTCATCACCACCCATAATTCTACATAGTTGGAGTCTACTTTGAACCTAACTAGGCAGCCTCTAGCATGAACATATGTTACATACAGTGCAATTCTAAACAGAATTGTATCCTTCTAAGTTTATTTATTTATTTAATTTCATTATACCCCGCCCTCCCCGCATGCGGGCTCATTGAAGTCAGTGGGCTTAATAGGATATAACTCTCCTTAACACAGTTAATCTCATAATATAGCACTAGGAAATTTTTATTTTCCTTCCCTTGGGGTGGGGTTCAAGCTCAAGTAACTGAAATGCTGAAGCAATGCAACATACTGTGTTAACAGCTTTTCAGTGAAGAATTTGGTCTTATCAGACTATTGTATTTAGTTGGATACCCTGGTATCTCTTCAAATTGTATTCAAGTTGGTTATTTGTGGCATAACCAAATGTAAATAATTGAGTTTGTTGTTAAAAGCTGTCCTTTAGCTTGAATATCTGGTAATCTAATACCAGCCTTATTACTATGATTAACCTGTCTAACATTTAACAAGCTTGCTTGCTCTATGCATGTAAACATAATAAAGTTCCGAGTACTAGCACTGTAGGGGCACTCTGTTTCCTTATCCCAGTCCTAAACAGCGTAGCTACTGTGGATTTTTGGAAGCGGTGTAGATTTCACCACTTCATTCAGAAGCTGTTTTTTATAGACAGTGTCAAAGTTTGATCCAGTCATTTTTACAAGCAGCCCTTTGTCTGCACGCAAAGGACCATTCACTTAGATGAAGTGCTGGGATTTGCCATCATTGCAATAAATCAGAATGTGATCTGGATGTACTGTTGCCAGATATGATTACTTTAGTTAAACTAAGTTGAAAGACCTGGCCAGAAATGAGCATAAAGCCAGAAAATGAAGAGTAATGATTGATACTCTGTTTTTCTTCATGCTGAACATACTGGAAAGTAATAACCTTGAACAGGATTGATTCTGGGTTGTCACTGAAATACTGAGTAAAACAATGGTCTTGCTGATGTTCTTTTGTGTCACTTCAATCTTCTTTACAGCTGACTGAGGAGCTGCAGAGCAAACCACTAAACAGTGAGATCAGAGAATTGCTGAAACTACTGTCAAAACCCAATCTGAAGGTAAGGTTGCTTGCACCTGTTAAAATGCACTAATTTTCTCGTTCTCAGTTTTAAACATTTGCAAAGGGTTTGAACATTCCCTGAGATTTTATGGGTATGCAAAACTGCAAAGGAGACTCTGCTTAAGTCATTTGAGGCATTATCACTATTTTATTTATTTATTTATAGTCAAATTTATACCCCGCCCTCCCTGCAAAGCAGGCTCAGGGCGGCTTCCAACAGCAACACAACAATACAGAATAAAAACATAAATAATACAGAATTAAAACACAGCATTTAAATAATACATTACAAAATATCAGTACTGGCGGCAGTTAAAAATCAAACAGAGTGCTTCGATGTTATTCCACGTAAAGTGTTTAGATGTTATTCTGCTCGTTCTTGAGGCTGCTGCTTGATGTTAACATTACGGACCGTGCACTAGGGCGGCGGCAGCCCCTAATTGTATGCCTGGTGGAAGAGCTCCGTCTTGCAGGCCCTGTGGAACTGTGAGAGGTCCCGCAGGGCCCTGATCTCCTCCGGGAGCTCGTTCCACATACCTGGGCCGTAGTTTGCTTAGGTAGCGGCTGAAGGGGGGGGGAGCTGAAGACAGAGGGACAGGTAAAGCCATGCTGCTGGTTGATGGGAAGGCCAGGAGGAAGGAAAAGAGGAAATAGTGGAGGAGAGGAAAAATGAGGTACCCCCTGCAAGTCCTTATAGGCCCCTGCTAGTATTCTACAGATTGGAAAGTTCTCTTTGTTGGTGTTTGTAGCTGATCCCATAAGGAACTCCTTGTCTATCTGCTTACTCTGTGTTGGGCTTTCTGCTGTAGGAGTGTACAAATGAGTAGTGAATCCTGGAAAAATACTGTGGCAGAATTTGGAGATTAAGCTAAAAAGGACAAGAGGTTGTAGAGTTCTAATATTGCCAGAATAGGAAAGTTAAATATGATGTATATTTTACTCTGTGGCAACCTCTTAAATGTTCTGTTGTAAGGAATGCCTGAAAACAACAAATGGGGAAACATCCACTTAATTCCCACTAGTTACAGATTGTTGTTGTTCAGTCGCACAGTCGAGTCCGACTCTTCGCGACCCCATGGACCAGATCCCGCCAGGCCCTCCTGTCTTCCGCCGTCCTCTGAAGTTTGCTCAATTTCATGTTTGTTGCATCTGTGACACTATCTAACCATCTCATCCTTTGCTGTCCCAGTTACAGATACTCCTTTGCTAAGATCTGGCATAAATTGGGTCAGTAGTTTAATTTGGCTTTAAGACATGTTCCTTCACAGCTACAGCTCTGAATTGGTATAACTAGCCTTTTGATAAGGCACCAGATCCACTGTTGCAGATACTATTTCAAAGACAGTTCCAAAGTCTGCATACCAATTTAGTCTTCAGCTGCCATTTCTGCAATCACAATTGTTTTGCAGCTACTGCCATTTTAAAAAAGGCTACTGCGGGCTATACTCATGTATAGCTTGGATCATGGAGAAATTTTTCCATGTGGTTCTGTGTATGGGAGTGAATATATGGAGAAAACCAGTGTCTCTATATGTGAACCAAAAAAAGATTAATTGACCCCCCCCCCGATGTTGCACACGTGCTGAGATATGAGCATATAGAGCTGTATTTGTCAGCTAAATCATAGTTGTAGAACTCTTAAGAGTGAAGATACTGTGAGAGATACCAGGCAGGCACCTTTGGCTGGCTTTAGGTAGTGAAACAAAACAGAAGTCCACTGGTACTTTAAAGAGTGACAGCCTTTACTATCATTTGTTATGATGGGGGTAGTAGGCTTGGCGATTGTGGGTTAGGCACCTGTGTACATGTTGCTTATCCTGAAAGTACATTCAGAGTTGCAAATCAATTTTTTTTCCAAAGGCAGTTTATCCTCCTGCCACTCGTCTCTCTTGGAAACTTGCCTCACACACGTACTTTGAGAATCATAAAACCATCCTGCTTGAGCACTTGCTGTGGAAGTAGGATAGATGGGAAAACTTTAGATTTAATTTCTTTTTGCTGTAACCTACACTCGGCATTGAATAAAGAATGTGATTAAAATTCCTAACAAATTGACATTGACAGAACAGTATTTTACCCTAGGAATCTGATGGATTTCAACACATATGCCATTTTTTTCCTAGATGAGCTAAATGGTCAATTACAAGTTATTGCTCTGAGCCAGGAAAATAGTATTACACTACTGGCTTTTGTTTTCTTCAGCAGTTTCTTTTTGGCTTCAATTAGTTCATAAGAAACCTATGGTAGAAGTTTATTGTAAGCATTAATTACTGGGCAAAGCTGAATGTTCCATGACATTTTAAAAATTACACTTTATTTGAAATGCAGGTATAACTCAGTATTATCGACTTTTAGGAAGCACCTAAAATAAAAACATTATTTTCTGGCTGTGTTAATACCCCAGATACCTCTGGCCCTGATTCAGAGACCAGCAAGTGCAGTAGTGCTCATGAACACGTTAACGTTATTGGTATCTATAACCAGATTATGATGTAGTGCCTGTAGCTTTAATAAGCAAAGATTGCATTCAAAGCAGAAGAGCCAAAAGATATAAAAAGCTGCTAACTGTTGTGAAGAGAAAGGTCTCCCAAATGTTGGGAGGTTTTGCATAGACCATTCAGTTAGGGCAAAGAGACGGGATTTGTCCAGAAGCCAGGGCCTGGGAGTGGGCAGCTCTACACAGATGCAGAGGGCAACTGTTTGATTGCCCCTGGGAAGCTGGGAATGCTGCAGCTGTTGGGCTGGAGTTTAAACTATGCTCCCCCAGCAAAGAAAGCAGTAAGATTTGCCAAAAGGCAAACAGACAAATACTAATACAGGTCCAAGGTTTTCAGGCAAAGAAAAGCAATAAAAGGTTCCCTAACTGACCTTATGCCTTGGTCCTCCTCTGGAACACATTGGCATGGCCAGTGCTTCACCTGCATGAGCTTTCGGGGTAGGGCGGGATATAAATTTAAAGATAAATAAAATAAATAAATGAGGGAACACATCACACTGGTAGCAGCCATCCAGCTGACTGATCCATTAAAATGCATACTGGGAATTCTGGGAGGAGAGACTTATCACCCACAGACCCTGCCCCCCACTGCATGAGCTCAGATGTGCCTGGTCAGCTGATCTGGCCAGGAGCCAATCCAGAGTCTTGGATTTTACCTGTGAATGAGGGTAGGAAGAAAAGGATTAGGCTCTCTCCATTAAGCACATGGTCCTTTGAAAGTGGTTCAAATGCCAGAGTTGAATGCTTTGAATGTCTGAGAAGGTCAATTTTGTCAAGGAAAGGTTATAGAAAATCAGGAAATGCATGATTCAGTACGGTTGTCTACAGATCCTATAAATATTGAAACAGATTGTTAATTTCATAGAATATTGTGTCCTTCTTAGAGATGCTTAGGTTCATCTTTGTATCTTCTATGCAGTCCCACATTGGACTGCTTCAGAGCAAGCCTGCCATGGAGGAGTTTCTACAAGCTTCTAGAATTTTCAAGAAAAGGTTATAGAAAATCAGGAAATGCAGAGAAAGACTGGGGAAATTATATGGAATTTATGTATAACCATGATTCAATACGGTTGTCTACAGATCCTATAAATATTGAAACAGATTGTTAATTTCATAGAATATTGTGTCCTTCTTAGAGATGCTTAGGTTCATCTTTGTATCTTCTATGCAGTCCCACATTGGACTGCTTCAGAGCAAGCCTGCCATGGAGGAGTTTCTACAAGCTTCTAGAATTTTACAGTTGAGTGATCCCCCTCCCCTCAGCACAGCAGAGCTACAAGGTCTGTTCCCACCCAAATGATCATGGCGTGAGGGGCAGAGGGAGCACTGTTTCCTCAGTCCTTTTTCTGCCACCATGAACAGATTTCTCGAAGAAATTGTATGTCTTTTTTTACCATTCTTTATTAAGATAATAGATATGGCTCTTTTAAAGAAATGCCATAGTTGTGGCATGAAAATGGCACAGAACAACATCCATGACCAGTGCTGCATGTGCTTGGGGGAAGGGCACAGCACAGCTTCTTGTCAGGCATGTAGCCTCTTCACTCCAAAACCATGGCAATAAAGTGCTCTTCACCTTTAGGCCACTTTGTGGGAGCAGTCACTTGAGGTTCCATTGGATTCCCCTCAAAAGAGAGCCAGGACCCCCTCAGTGGTCCCCATGCCAGTCTTGCAGTCAAAGCCTGAGACCAGAGAGACAGCTCAGGCACCAAGAGCAGCTTCCGAACTGCCTATTAAAAAAGCTAAAAAGAAGTCAAAGCACTCGACTTCATTAACTGCTCGACCCTAGCATACCGGCTCCAGCATGACATCAAAACCGCCTATCCAGGACTGGACACAATGCCGATGATCCAATTCCCCTTGAGGTCAATTGCAAATTCCCTCGCCACAACATCAGAATGACTCAGCTCACTATTGATCAGTGTCATCAACTCAGACTCGACCTTCGTTTTCTCCCCATCACTCGACATCATCTCCTCCATCCCGAAGACCTTGGTCCCTTTGAAATCGAAGTCCCAACAGTCAACGTTGTTGCCACTTCTCAGATGAAAGCACAGCATGTTTTCAAAAGCACCATACTCCTCCCCCATCAATGGCTTGAAAGGAGTACCAGTCCTCAGATGAGGATGTGATTGAATTAATCACACCTAGACAGAAGGCTTTAACAAACAAGCCAACCTTAGCTTCTGACGCCAGCACGTCTCAGATGTCAGATTGGGGCTCTCAGCCACAATGGGGTCAGTTCCCCCCTGATTTATACCCCCATGGAATCAGTAGGATCTTACCTTGTTGGCAACCACCTACCTTTCACACTGACCCTGTCACAAGATCACAGTCATCAGATTTGATTCCCCGTTCCTCCACATGCAGCTGCTGGTGTGACCTTGGATCAGTTACAATGTCTTTCAGAGCCATTCTCGAAAGAGCAGTTCTCAAAGGAGCTCTTTCAGCCCCACCTACCTCACAGGATGTCTCTTGTGGGGAGGGGAAGAGAAAGGAGA